TCTAAGCCGGAAGACCTCATTCGATGCCCCAAAATCCGTCGGAACAGTGTTTTCGACGGAAATAGTTGGGAAAGGACGTTTTTTCGACAAAGAGTTTTCCGATGACCATTTTTCGACGGAATTCTGTTGGAAACACGTTTTTCGACGGAAAACAGGGTGTTTGAAAACGCTTATTTTCTAGTAGTGCTCTCTCTGTCGATCTCAAATCAACAAGACTTACTCCTTATTCCCTAATTGGACAAATCGGTCCCTCCTTTGACAGCGACGACTTCCATCCTCTTCACGACTTCTCTTCTCCTCAGTCACCACGACTTCCCCCGTGACAAATCGGTATAGGTTTTTTTATTATTTATTTATTCTTTTGAACCTTCATATGAATTCAACTATGTTTAAATTAGCATTTTTGATCTAAGAACATAAGGGTAATATTCAAATTAAATAGTTGGGAAAGGACCTTTTTTCGACAAAGAATTTGAGTTAGGTTAGATACTTAGATCATTTTTTGTTTAACCCTAATTTCGTAAAAACAATTGGGCCTTTTTAAAACAATAGTTGGGTCGTTGATTTCTAAATGATGTGTGGTTTAATTTGAATATAAGCCTTACATTTTGTAGGTTCTTTGGATTTCAAGGGTTGAAGTATCGTTGATGATCCGCCTTCAGTTTTCCGTCGTTGAATCGTTGATGATTATTTTTACATTTTTGGTATTAGATGGAATCTTTATGTACTTTTAACAATTGGAAATTGGTTTATTTGGAATTTTTTTTGTTTAATTTGTGACAATTAGTTTGCAATTTTCTGTAAAATTGCTTTATTTTAAATTTGTTAAAATTAGTTTGCAAGTCTGTAAAATTTCTTTGTTACAATTTTCCTCTATAACATGATTAAAAAAAGTTCAATACATATCAATTTTGCCTTCAAAAATTTAATTTTGCCATTAAATTAGTATTTAAACAATATATTATTAAAAGGGTCGGATATTGAATATCCGAGCTATCCGCCCCGAAACTTTTCGGATATCCGAAAATTTCGGATCGGATACGAATATCAAATTTAGGAAGGATACGGATATCCAATTCGAAATCCAATGCTCACCCTTATTGGAACCCAGCTCCCAGACCAGACGCATTGGTCGTCTCCCTAGCTGCCGCACCAACGCGCGCTGGAAACCCAGCGAGCATGTCTGTGCTGCTGGCAGTCCCTGCTGCTGCCTGGTTGTGGTACTCCTCTTTACGCCGCGGGCTGCCCACGGAATCTGCTATGTGGGCTACTTTTTCACCTCCCATTCCTTCATTCGCACTTCCCACAACTTCATTGTGCCAATCAAAACCCCATTCATCATCATTTCCTCACCCGAAGGATGCACATGTACAGGTCTCCAAACTTCATTATTTTGAGGCATGGTAAAGGGAAATTCGAACTCAAAGAATTGCACATCACGTGAAACAAAGCTTTCTTTAGTCTCCAAATCATACACTCTCCAACCTTTCTTCCCAAAAGGATACCCCAAAAATACGCACTTCCTACTCCTACAAGCAAACTTGTCACTCTTACTACGTTGATTGTGAGCATAACACAAACACCCTAATATATTCATACGAGGGTTGTTTACCAAAAAAGATCTCAAACGGAGTATTAAATTCAAGCAATCTAGAGGGAGTCCGATTCATCAAGTGACAAGCCGCTTGCACACATTCCCCCAAAAACTTAAGAGGTAAATGTGTTTGAAATCTCAAGGCACGTGCCACATTAAGAAAATGTTGATGTTTCCGTTCAACACGCCCATTTTGTTGAGGTGTTCCCATATACGAAGTTTCAAATAGGATCCCATTGGCAAAAAAAATCTTTCAAGGAATTAAATTTCGTTCCATTGTCACTATGAACTACCTTAATCTTGTGACCAAGTTGTCGTTTCACCAAAGCAATAAAATTAAGAAACATGTATTCAACCTCAGTTTTATTACGTATTAAATACGTCCACACTCCTCTTGAAAAATTATCTACTATAGTTAAAAAATAGTGAGAATCACAAGTCGATGAGGTCTTGTAAGGTCCCCACAAATCTACATGAATAAGTTCAAACACACGACTAGCTTTATTATTGTTAATGGAAAAACTACTCCTATGTTGTTTTTCCCTAGGGCATACATCACAAGATTTATTTTTAATACTTCTAATAGAACTACTCACAACTAAAAGATGATGCAATACTTTTCCCGAAGGATGTCCCATTCGTTGATGCCACAACTCCGTCGACTGAACACCATCTATCTTCAAAGCCTTCACTTCAAGAACACCACGGAAATAATAAGTCCATCCACTCGTTCACCCGCTCCAATCAACTTCCTCGTCGTTAGGTCCTGTATAACACAATGTTTGTTAGTAAATTGCACAGTACAATTTAATTTGATTCATCACATAATTGAGTTGTAGAGATTAAATTGCAATTCAATTGAGGCATTAGCACTCTTCCCATCCGGAAGACCCACCAGACAAAGTTGCACATTAGTCACATTCGTCAAAAGAGACAAGTCACAAGTCACATGGTTGGATGCGCCGGTATCAACGATACAACCTAATTGATCCTTACCCTGTAACTTGGGTTTCATAGTGTTCAAGTGGTCAATAATTTGCTGAATTTGAGTAGAGGATACACCCGCAAGAGCTGCCCTGTCAGCTGTCGTAGCACTCCCACCTTGCGTGGTCTGGGAAGCTGACTCCCCTCCAGTCTTGTTTGCACGAACAGGCTGACCACCTCCTCCTCAGCCCCCAGATCTTCCTCTCCTTTGCTTAAGCCCGAGTCACCACGACCTCGGCCCCTACCTCTATGGCCACGGTCTCCCCACCTAGGAGGGTAGCCATGAATCTGAAAACAACTTGACCCGTCATGTCCTACACGGTTGCAATGGTTACAAAATTTATCAGAGTTATCCGTCAAACGTTGCGGTTTAGAAGTGGTGTCATGTTGAAGCTTGAAAGCCATAACATTCTCACGAGCCACCGGCATGGTCATGGTGGTCTCGCCTCCCCGCAAGCGCTTAGCCTGAATTATTTGTTGATAAGCTTTATCAATAGAAGGTAACGGATTTTGAGCCAACAATTGACCCCTAATCGAGCCATAAGCGTCATCCAGTCCAATCAAAAAATGATGAACAAATTAAAGTCCTCATGACGCAATTTTTCCACTTGCGCCACTACTAGAAAAAAGACTTATGGCAACAGCAATAATATGTTACCATATATCATGTTAATGTTGCCATATGCCTATAGCAACGGATATAAACCGTTACCAATAAGTGTTGTTGCTAAAACTCTTTGGCAATAACTTTCATGCATAAGGCAACAATTATTTTAAACTGTTGCTGTATATAATTATGGCAACGCTTTACTTAGGTATCGCTTTTTAACTTATGCCAACACTTATTTATCAACAGTAGGCAACATTTCCAAAGTTTAAGCAAAAATTTATGGTATTTTTAACCAACACTTCTTAGCTTGCTACTAGTTGACCTTTAAAATTAAGGCAACACTTTATTTAGTTTATGGCAATGCTTCCAATTGAAACTAAGGCGACACTTTTTAATCTATAAAGACACTTTTAATTGACTCTAAAGCAATAGATTGATAATGCAGATATAAGAAACATGCTTAAAGTGCATATAATCAATAAACTTTCATTTAGAAATAAGCTTTCCAAAAAGTTGTACATAGCTAACAATTTATTACAACTTGATAGCAAAAACATTCAATCTAAAAATTTCATCCATCAAACTAATAAAAATTCTCTGCGGATGGTTTTCTGATGACACAAAAGAAGTTTACTAAGGAACTGATCAAAGAATCTGGTTTGGATGTCTCTAAACATGCTCTGACTCCTTTACCAGTGAATTTGAAGTTATCAGCTGCAGATGGGGATCCTATAGCAGATCCTTCTTATTACAGGTGCTTAGTAGGAAAAATGAATTTCCTAACACACACTAGACCTGACCTGTCTTTTACAGTGTAGGCTTTAAGTCAGTTCCATCATGATCCCAGAACCTCTCATCTTTCTGCTCTACATCATGCCCTAAGGTATTTAGCAGGGACAGAAGATCAGGGCATATTACTTAGAGCTTCAAATGAGCTAAGGTTAGAAGCTTTCTCTGACTCAGATTGGAGACCTGCTGTGATTCAAGAAGATCTATTACTGGATATTTGATGCTATTTTGGAATTCTCCAATTAGTTGGAAATCAAAGAAGCAAACAGTAGTCTCTAAAAGTTCATTCTTTAGAAGCAGAATATAGAGCAATGTCAAATGCAGCTTCTGAAATAACATGGTTGGTGAGACTACTTGAGGAAATTGGTGTTCAAGGCTTGAAATCAATTACTCTCAACTGTGACAATCAATCAGCTACCTATATTGCAAAGAATCCTGTCTTCCATTACAAAACTAAGCATCTAGAAATCGATTGCCACTTCACAAGAGACAAAGTTATGGAAGGGCTAATCTCTTTGAGCTACTTGCCTACTAAGGTTCAGCTTGCAGACCTGTTCACTGAAGCATTACCTTCTGCTCAATTCAATGAGCATTTGTCCAAGCTTGGAATGCTTCAATCAGCCTCCAGCTTATGGGGGGTGTGAAGAATAATGATGAAGAGTGCCACGTCAGCATTCTCACTCAGCAAAATAAAAAGTTGTTTTGGGCCCATAACTAATTTTGTTAGAAATTTGGTTGTAACAACCTAGCTGTAATTGTTGTAATAACAGACTATAAATAGTCTTCTTCTCTGTAACTTCATTATAGAAATTAATAACACTTAACTACTTTTCTCTCTCTAAAAATTCTCTTCCATTTCATATTTTTCTCTGTTATTTTTTTTCAAATTCTCAAATATTGATAAAAACAAAATAGCAACAAACTTAAGAAGTTTAAATTAGTTTAGAGAACGACAACTTCAATGATAATACATCAATCCATTAAGCACAAATTAGGAGCTTCACACATTCTTTCAATAATGGTAGCTAGAAAAAGGAAAACTTTAGGAAATCTTCCATTAAATCATATGCATTAACGAGCTTCGAACATAAGTATTCCATTACATGTCGTTATTACGCCCATTTCGCCATGAGAGACATAATTCCCATGCCTAGGAAGGCAGCAAAATAGCAAACAAATTGAAGTTTGATATTTCCTTGAAGTTTAGGTCCCATAAAATCAGTTGCTAACAAGTCCACCAAAGCCATGTAAATTAGTAGCCCTGAAGAAATAGCATTCAACACTCCAACAACAATTAGGGCAGCTGGGCTATTCTCATTATAAAAACTTAGCATGCCAATCCCAAGAGCTATCCCAAATGGTGTTGTTGCTGAAAAGAATGCTACCATTGTTGCTTTCATCTTCATTCCATACTCGGCCTAAAAAAATATACATTATATATATACATCATCATCAATGTTAGTTTTTAAGTAGTCTAGTTAATTTTGGGTCGGGTTTATAAATCTCAATGAAATCTACACAATTTATTTTTAATTAAGTCGATTAGAGTACAGTACCTGTAAGATGCAACCACCAAGACCCATGCCCTCAAAGAGTTGATGGAAGCACATAGCCGCGACGAGTGGTCTTATTGTGCATGGATTGTTTGAAACACCCATTGCCACTCCAATCACCACTGAGTGCACTACTATTCCCAACTCTAATACCTACATATAACAACAAATTAATAACACTATGAACTATTGATTGCAAATCAAAACATGAAATAAACGACATGTTTAGTAGATGGTAATAAATAAACTACTTAGTAGTATGTACCTGAGCAATAATGCGATACCTCAAGAGTTGAGACTGCTTCTCCTCGGATTCCACACCTTGTTTTTTATTGCTACTAATGTCATGATGATCAACCATTTCCATGTCACCTTCTCTAGGACTTTGCATGTGATGTATAGTACCAACACCACTACCACCATTGTCGGTACCATGGTTACCACAATGGGCGTGCATTCTCTTCAACCCTTTCTTCTTAAAGTACGCGGTTGCAACTGTGTCCATCATCATGGTCAAGACCGTCGTAACCATAGCAATAAAAGTAGAAAAGGGGTAAATTCTCCAAGGGTTTTCAGGCAAACATGGTGAAGTTAAATCATTCCAAGAATCAGGAAGGACGTGCATGAAACCCGTGGACAAAATTACCCCTGCAGCTAGGATTTTTACTATAACAGCCGCGTTACGATCGGGGTGTAACGCAGGAAAAGCAGTTGAAAATAAGGGTAACCCTATTCCAATCATACTAGCTACTAATATGGTAAAAATGCCTATCACTTTTAGCTTCAAGGATTTTTCCTTGTCATAACATCCACCACTAGCGGCCACCTCGCACTCGGAGGTGTCCTGCCCTCGAGCCGAGGAGGCTTGGAGGAGGATCATGAGGAGAGCGATCGAGATCGAGAGTGTTTGGAGTACCTTCATTCTCTTGTTAGACATTACCCTAGCCTTTTTTTTTTTTTTTTTTTTCCTTAGCTTTTGAAAATACTAGTGATTTAAGTAAATGAGTTAATTGTTGATGATGATTTGTGGTTCAGATCTTCGAGTATTTATAGTAGTCTAAAGTTTATGTAATTAAGTGTTGTTTATTGTAATTACTAGCTAATTAATTTAGAATTAATAATAGAAATTAAAATGGTATAGTATGAGCTTGTGCATGGCATGTGTGGGGAGTAGTCGAAAGTGAATTATCCGTGCGCAAAGTACACGCCCGTACGTACTAACAGAATATAAGTTAGCAAGCATCATGCCTCTTATTATTGGATGTTTTAATTTCATCATAATTAATAAGCTTTTGTCAACGGTTACAACTTTGGATAATAAAGGATGACAAATGTGAAAGTCAATGAGTTGTTAACTACTATTTTTGCATAATTTGAGAAGTTGCTATCAACTTCAATTTGTTTAAGTAGGATTAATTTTGTCCATTGATCTCTTTTTTTAATAAGCTCCATTACTTTTTGAAATAACCACTCTCATTCTTTCTGTGATATATTTAGGCTCAGTTGGAAAAAACTAAGGTATAATTGTATAAGGTTGAACTTGTACTTTTAATTAATAAATTGAACTAAGGTAAGTTAGGTAACCTTTATTAATCATTATTAGAACTAGCAAGCGTGAAAATAGTACTAATTATTCTGTATATATGTACACAAGTTGCATCGTCATTGTGAATTGTCATAAGATAAGTTATATGAAAATTTTAACTTAGTAATTGTAGGCATGATTCAAAGCGCGCCTATTTAATCACGGTGTGAATATGCTTGGTAATTATAGGAAGCAGGATTTAACGTTATACAATAAGGGACAATAAAAGTAGGGAGCCACCAACAAGTTTTTAAGAAATTTATAAACCGTTCACGGATCATTTAAGGCAACCATGATAAGGGATAACGAAAGGCAACAACGATTGACCTGTGATGGTTACACCCCATTTATAATCCATGATATTACTAATTTCATATGGTCAAGAACCACGAATGGAGGATCGGGGATGATGGTACGAAGTGAGTAATGGAAGTCAATTTCGTCCGTATTGGCCTCTACTCGATTCTTATAGCGAAAAATATTTCCTACGATCTCAAAGGCATACAAACAATATTCAATTTGCTCCAAATAAAATTAGGCTAAATTGGTTGAATATTAATGCACACATAATTCTAAATATTTATGACCACTTCGATTAAACAACAAGATTAAAAAAGAATTTAAACCGGTTATCCAAATTATCTTATTAATCGTTATTTCAATTACATATTCCCAATCTAACATGCAATATGATGATCAACAAAACAATAGAATAACAATAATATTGGAAGCAATTTAACCATAACATTGTTAGTCAAATCATCAAAAGTATAACGATAAACCTAAACATGATACTAGCAATAAAATAAGAGTAATAAATTACTTCACGTTGCGCCCTTCTTTAAATTGCTATATCATGAATAAAGCGTTAGTAACTTCAAGGAATAATAAATCAAATCAAATTGAAATTAAATTAAATTAAAGTAGAGTTGATTTGGTCCAAACCCTCAAACAGTTCTACATTTCACGCCTTAGTTTAAGTATGGAACTTCAGGTATAGTATGGACTCCTTGGATGTAAGATGAAAATATAAGGATTGTAAGTGTGAGGGAGGGAGCTGAGAGTGAATTTGAGTGCTGCCCCAAAGCTCGTAATTGAGGCTCCTATTTATAGAAGAATTGAGGGGAATGAGGTCCGGAACCCTAGAAATGAGGCGTCGCGCAAAGGAAAAGGTAACGCAACACTGCCGTGGCGTGGCGCGATACCAAATATTATCATTTCAGAAAGTCAAAACGCGTGAAAAGATGAAAACTGAGGAGTACTGGTGCTATGTCATGGTACCCTGTGACGTGTCACGACACTGGTGTCGTGGCACATTACTTCCTCAGTTTTGTAAAATGTCGTTTAATTGAAATATTATCTGATTTTTCATAAAACACGTGATAATTAAGCGCCGTTTCTGTCATTCTCGACTCATTTTAAGTTTAGGGTTTTGTGGTTTTATTAATTGGGCTCAATTCATAATTAGGGAAATGGATTAAATGTAGTTCGGGCTAGAAATGAGTTTAGACAAAGGTTTTAATAAATGTTTGGGCTAAATGTGAATTGGTTTATAAAAATGTATTGGACTAAGTATGGATTTTTAGCACTCTAGAGATTAAATACTCAATCCGACCAATAATGACAATGAAAGGTTGTTCATCATCGGATTTGATTTTAGGGAGACATTTTTAGGTGTCTACATTAGTACTTATACTAATCAATATAGTCATATATATAGACAATGGAATAGATTTCTAGCTTTCAAATTCTAGGTACTTCTGCGAGTTTTTTTCATTGCACCAATTTCCTTTTGAGAAGATGCATAATAATTGCACAATTTCTTATTTGGTATGCTTTGTTATTTCCCTACCTTTTTAAGAGTATGAGTAAAGTCTTATGAATAGTGTTGAGACTATTATACCCTTAAGAATGTTTCTTATAAATAGTGTTGAAACTATTATACCCTTAAAAATGTTTATTTACGTATTTTCCCCTTTCAAAAGTATGACCACACTTTATGAATAGTGTTGAGACGATTATGTCCCTAAAATGTTTATTTATATATTTGCCCTCATTAATGTTAATTGTTTTTTTTTTGAACTCTTAAAAATAATGTGTTGACATTTATACCCCTAAAAATATTTGCTTACATATTTTCCCTAATTAACGCAATTAACAACTCCAAATCGAAAGAACTTTCGAACATAGCTAGCTATAACGCACTCATTGTACGCGTTAGCCGCCTTAGTTTTTGCAAAATATCCTAACTACCATGCCTTGTTCATTTGTATTACGAAATGCGATTTACGAAGTGTGTATAAATAATGTTAAAGTAACAACCGCTGACATCATCCTTTTTTCAAATTGTACACGTGTCAGATTCTCCTTCTAATTTTTTCCCGCCTAATTTTTTTTTTCTTCCAATTTTCTTTATTGTTCTTACTTTTTATTTAATTTTTTTATTTTTATTTTGAAAAAGCTAAATATCGACTACAAAGTACTTTTATACGGTACATTATCTTAAGTTACATATATATAGCTAAATCTTAAGGAAATCAAATATTTATATGTGATTACTCTGTCTAATTACAAAGTCCACTAAATTTTGTTGTAGATATGAAATTTCTTTTGATTATATTACTTTAATTTTTGTAGTTTTGTTTATGTTAATACAAAGATTTTACATATTTTGAGTGATGATATAACTTAAAAATGTACATAATTATAAATTCTTTTTATTATACCCGTGCATCGCACGAGAGCTAATCTAAGTGTTATATTAACAAAATTACCTCACCTTTTTTTTCTGTCTTATTTGTTTTATGGAAAATTGTGTAGAACTACCCGGAAGATAGGCTGTTTTGTGAAGAACTACCCTTTTTTTTTTATTTACAACTACCTGCAAGTTTAAAAACGTTTGGGTAGCACTACCCATTAACGTTTTCTATCCAAAAAACCGTTAGTGGGTCCCACAATATACACGTGTCATTTTTTTATTGGATAACAAAAAAATCAGAAAATTCAACCTAACACCATCCTCCTTCCCTGACCACCCCATCCCCACTGCCTACCGGCCACCGGAACCCAACAACCCCATTCCCCTCTCCACTTGAAAACCCACAGCCCACAAAACCAAACAACCACCATCACCACCAACCTAAACTCCAATCACCACCAATTTTTGTGAAGAACCCTAAAAAATTTGAATTGGGGTTTTTTGTTTGGTGAAGCAATTCACAAAATTGTTTGCTCTAATTGATTGTATGTTGAATTGTGAACATTTTGGTACAAGTTTAATAAAAATTGGTGAAGAAATAATGTTCCTAAAGCTTTCATGCATGAGCTTCAAATGGAGCTTCAATGGCGTTTTGTGCGTTTGGGAAGAGGAGGGGAAGGGGAGGGGGCCGGCATGGGCGGAGAAATGGCGGCGAGAGAGAAGGGGATGGGGGCGGCCGTTTTCAGGGGTTTAGGGCGGCGGCCGGCCGATTTTTGGTGGTGGCTGGGGGTAGGGGTTAGGGTTTCACGGTGGTTGGGGTGGCTGGTTTTTTTTTTTATTTTTTTTCCTTTTTTTTTAATTTTTTATCCAATAAATACTTGACACGTGTACAATGTGGGGCCTACTAACGGTTTTTTGGATGGAAAATGTTATTGGGTAGTGCTACCCAAACGTTTTCAAACTTACGGGTAGTCATAAACAAATAAAAAAAAAATAGGTAGTTCTTCACAAAACAGCCTATCTTCCATGTAGTTCTACACAATTTTGCATGGGCACATTTAACATCCCCGTGTTTTACTCTTTTTTGTTAAATCTTATCCATGCTACATGGAGCAATTAAAAAAATAGAGAAAATATTTGATTTTAAATTTTAAAAAAACCGAAAACAAAAAACAAGCTATAAGCCTTTTTTTTTCTCTCTTATTTGTTTTATCACATGCCTTTTTTCATCGTAAAAAAACAAACAAAATACCTTTTTTTTTCTCTCTCGTAACCTTACTAAGTGCCCCTTCATAATTAAATTAAATTGATTGATTTTGAGAAAGATGATTAGTAGAAACAAGGTATAAAACGTCAAAACTGAACTGGGTAACATCCCATTTATTATTTCATTAATACAAATCTAATTTATGCAATCTAAAAAAAATGCCGATATTCGATGATTGTGATAAGCAAACAATTACACATACAAAACAAAATGATCTCTTTTTTTTTTCTTAGGGTAAAGGGGAGGTTATGCTATAAAACAATGTGTACATCTCAACTACGTGAAAAGAATCTTCAGTTACACCAGAGCAGCACAAAGCCAACATACCAAGGATATAAATAAAAAGAAATCGGGAGTATGAGGCTATCGGAACTTTCAGAAATGCCATCCCTAGTCGAGCTGTTGCTTGCTTTTAGTCCTTTTCATCTTTGCCTTAAACCGCGATTTCACGAGTAAAGTTTTCACCGTATTTACGAAATTACCAATTGCCATCAAAACCAAGAGAAATCCACAAAAAACAACCTGCCAAAGGTTCAAGTACAAAGATGCTAAATATAATCTTATTATCCCTTCCTGGAGAACACACGGACAAAAAAGGTAGCTCACCTGCCATTCAGATACAAATCCAACAAATGCTGTTTGAAGCAACAATGAACCAACATATGCCTCGAAACCCTGAAATTTTTGGCAGATTACATAAATTCAAGAGACAGTCTTCTTCGTCAAAAAAGAGACATAGTCTTCAACCAAATCTTTGTTAAAAATCTTAGGATACAACTTATCCTTTCATTCACAAGCAAGCATCAACATTACTCATGTCAATCTCACTAAAAGAGAGAAAAATAAATATATAAATTGATTGCCTTCTATTACAATTTCTAATCCAGCAGTAGCTCAGTATCTCAATATTTAGAAGGGGCTAGATTGAAGAAGGGAAGGGAAATATCACTTCAGAATAGAAACAAGCTTTCATAGTTCTTCCAACTTCAGCCTGATAATACAGCACAAATGATTATTTCTAACTTTAATAGAAATGCCCAGGTCCTCACCATCCATCAAGCCAATTAAGCCAACTATATATCCCTCACACTTTAAAAAATCCCAAATATAGATAATTTTTCGCACTCAAAAACTGCGTTACAAACATGGCATGAGTAATTCAAGGGTTAAAAAGTAGCTGTATGGACAAAACATTACAAATTTTCTAAAATTTTATGATCCTCGCAACTAAAAATAATAACTCCCACTTCCCCAACAACAAGATGAACGGCAAAATCAGCACCAAGGAATGACACCCATCGATTTAATCACAGTTTCACAAGACAGATACCAGCCATTGATATTGTGGGATCAATATCCTACAGAAGACTCCTTATCAACTATAATACCAATGTCATTATTTAAATTCTTGGTTTTTATTTTTGTTATTTTTTATTTTTCAGAAGGATTTTGTCTCTGAATGCTATGTCTGATAAAGGATGATTGCCATGCTGTTCTCTATCCTGATTAGAGGTTGCTCTCAATCTATTCTTTGGGGGGGGGGAGTTGGAGTTTTTGGCAATAGAATGTCGGCGCCTTGGAGGTAGCGGAGAGAGTGGGAACTAAAATGTATTTCATTAGTTTGGTAATCTAAGAAAATAATTTCTCAAAGCTACATATGGAGTTATGGACTAATGGATTCCACCGACACAATTCATTTGGAGCAATTGCTCTGGTATCTTCCCCTCCATAGCTATCCTTCATGATCCCGTCCACCCCAACCAAATCCCCCCCCCCCCCACACACACACACAAACACACAAAAAAACTTCCCTACGTAATCACCCAATATTTGCGAAGTAAAAGCCTAAGCATGTCACCGTGTTCAGAAAACTAAGCACTGTCACACCAAATGAGATTTGAAGCTTTTATTCTTTAATCTTTATCCTTTTTATTCTTTTACGTTCATGCAGTTTTTAATCTTTATCCTTGATAGTTGATAAAAGTCATACAACATGCAGCAATTTACAAATATACTTATAAAAAATCTCCCAAAAACAGTAACATTCCAATTACCTGCAAAATAAAAAGTATAGGGCAAAGCAGCCAAAGCTGGCCATGCTCTCCTGCCGTTTCTCCCCACACAATATCCATTCTCTTTGCCTGAAATATGTCAGAAGGTAACAGTGTAAGACTACTACACCATAACCCATATAACATAAGGTATTATGAGAGAGAGAGAGAGGTATCTCTTATATCTCTTTTTTCTTTATTCCCCTCTTTCTATACATGTGAGGGAAAGATTTTCATCCACATCAGGTACTCGTAATTAGGAGGGGCGGGGATTATGCATCAAACAGTATTTGGGGGAAAGGCATGACAGAAGAATGAATGGAGAACATTTGCTGAAGATCCACTATGGGAATGGGAATATTAACAGAGGTGACAGCTAAAACAAGTCCCCCAAGCCTAACAATGGGATACTAAAAGATTCTAGACACAGACCCCCAAATCTAGTGAAACATTATAGCAGTCCACCACTCCACTCATAGAAATCCCATAGGAATTTCAGTTATATTATTTTCTTAAGACATCATTGATATATCCCATTGTTACTAGTGAAATTCACATTTTAGTCTCAGATTATTGACACATCACAATACACAAAACTACTCATTGCTGCATAAATTGATAACCAATTAACCATATTAGGCGTTGGGGCATGCTCAAGTATAAACTTAATAATTTATCCCATACTTGACAGCCACGACGCACAACATAAGAGCTATGAGATGTTCCTCCCATGAACCCTAAACCATTATTATGATCAATTGACCATGGACCACAAGCCCCTGACTACACTCAGAAGAAATGCAGATTATGTGATCACAAAATCAGTCTAGTATGTGAACAGTGATGGAGCTTCTGAACTACGTGAATAACATTACATGATTTACATCAGAAGCGTAGTATAAGCTCCACTGGGAACTCTATGGTGTATGCTAAGATTGGCTCTGTAGTTGCAATGATTTCATTACACAAATTGTAATATATCACACTTCTCGTCAATCTTTACTACAGTGGCATGTTAGCTGGAACATTTTTGAAAAAAACACCTTATGTAATTGCAATTAAAGAAGGATGATTGAGGCTGCACACCTAATACATGCAGCCTGTTCCCAGGTATCCTTGGAGCCTAGACACAATATAAAATGCAGCCAATAAAGTCTTAATGGAATGGGTGTCCAAGCTTCATGCCACTAACAAACTCCTGAACATCCAACTCCTCATATCCAAATTCAGGGAATACTATCAATAAAAAAAATATATATAATAATAAAAATAAAAAAAAAAGCACATACCTTTCCAAGTGCAATACGAGTGTACAGCCTCTGCCGTTGATATCGATTTTGCAATAACATTGCAACTCCTTGCATCATGGCCCATTGTAGAAAAAGTTTTACCCCTCTCTGGATGACATTGACCATGAGTTAGAAAACAAACAAGAAATAATCAAGTTAAAAGCTATAGGTTGCAATAATGATCAAGCCCCTCGACACATATCTATACTCCACTTTCTGAGAATGAGAATAGGACACCATCAATAAGGATGCAATACAGCTAATATAGTTCCCTTTAAATTATACAGCTTCAAATGTAATTTACAAACACACATAACAGTTCCAGGGCAAACAAACAGATTTAATTCATACATGTCCTTGCAATGCAATGCATTGTTCTAAGGGAATAAGTACCAAAGGGGGAGTCCCCTGTCCCTCTAAGGTCCAACAAGTTCAGAAAATTAATAGCAGATTCTATACAAACTTATGTATGTAAACATCCCATGCAGAAGTCAATGAAATTAATAGTTCATCGTGGCAAGGCGTGCTCATAAGTCTGCCATAAAGATTCACGTGTTTGGTGAAGCTGACATCACTCTATCAGGACACCTAATAGTTTGAAACTATGTAACACAGAAATGGAAAAGAATTTTGTTTTTGTAAAAAAAAAAGCTGAAATATGTGTATACTACATCAAAGATAGAGTTTTAAAATTGCTGGTTCAAATTACACTATCAACGTGATGGAAAAATACATTATTAGCCACTCAACTCTCTCCCACTGGTCTGCAGGTTTGGGAAGCTCTATAATACCATTAAAAATAAAAATAGTTGGAGAAACTTGTTAAAAATCAAGTAGTTACATATACAGCAACAAATACACCACAGCAGGATCTCAAGTTGCAATATCAAATATACCATATACATGAATCAGAATCAAGCTGTCACAGTAGGTTTATCAAATTGACCATGGAGGAAACATTTTAAGCCTTGTTGGTGTAAAGCATGAAAAAAATGAGAAATTCAAGTTCCATGGACGAAGTTACAAAAACAAATATCTCCAATCAAATCTTTGAGAACTCAAATTGAGATTCTCGATTGCATTATTTTCTCTAATTTTTTATTTCCTTCAAAAGTATTGCTTCTAATAGAACTTAATAGTGAAGAATGTTAGAATATGCAGTTGAATATCCACTGATGTAGCAGATCAAATCATTCTGTTACAGATGAGATGTGAATTTCATCACTTCAGCATCTGTTAAAGAATGGAATACCATAGTCTGTCAAAAAAAATATATGGAATACCATGAAGCACCCTAAGAAGACTGACCTGCTTCTGTGCACAATCAGGTTGGCCTTTAATTTCCCATGTAAGGCTCACGAGGGCCATCACCATTGCACAGTAATGATGATATATCCACCTGAAAATTTTAAACAAGGTTACTAGAGTCATCTTTTAAATCCATTGCCTAATAATGAACTTTGAAAAGCTAACGGAACACAAAGAGGAGATCCCTTTCCTCTTGGAGGGGGGAAATGGAATATTAAAGGACAATGCAAATATATATGACGGAAAAATACTACCAGTTAACAGAGAATCACTGTAAAAAATTATAAAATTTGGGATTTTACTGCTGATATGAGCCAAAGACTCCCTTGTACATATAAATCAAAGTATTAATTGATTTTCACAGCATAGCAAGCTCCCTAGCAAATCATTTACGTAATTTCTTTCAAGTCATAGATTGCTGAGCAGTTTAGTGTACTTGGTTAGAATATTAAAGGATTAATCAAGAAAATGATTTAAGTAGCTCCATCAGATCTTATACTTGCATTTTGGCTTTGGTGCTTCTATATTACTCAAGGGTTGTTCAATTTAAAGTGTTCCCTGGATCTTCCCAGAGTTACTGGAAAGAGAGATTTAGATAGTTATATATATATTTCTAAAAAAAAAGGCGTATGTATTATTTACCCCCGGGGGGGGGGGGGGGTAGCAATCAAGACAGATTTAGGGTCTAAAATCTATCTACATTACTTGGATGTAAGATATACAAAACAACTAATCCATGATTTAATGTCAATGAATAATCTTTAAAAGAGCAATGCAGCAGCTAGTAACAACTACAAAGGGCCAACCAATAACATCAGATGCTTGTATATCACACTGCCTAATAAACTTCCATTTTAACTAGACTCTTAAAAGGCCAAAAGAAAAGGATTAATTATTGATCCTCATAAAGATATAAGATATTCAAAGTAAGATACAAAGCTGATGAGCTGATTGCACCCACCTGGTTGATACGCACTTCAACATAAGCAAAATCAACTCCCAGTCATCAATATCCCACAGACAACAATGTGTCAATAATGGCTTTCTGGTAAATAAACCCATACACCTACTCAATTCCTTGTTCTCTCCCTTTCTCACTCTCACCCTCACCTTCTATAGTTCTATCCTCACCATCCTCTATTTCTCCAAGTGATTCAATTGCAATTTTAAGAACTACTAGTGTCACCTTTCACTACATATATCACTTTCAATAATTATCAAGAATACACTCGCAGCAGCCCAAATGTGGCAAATCCATAGACTTGCAATCCCCATCAACAGCCACCAATCCATCACTGGTATATCAGTATACAGTTGACATTGATTACCGCCAATTTTTTGGGCAAAGAATCCTTTAGTATGCACCTTATCCAAATATCACAATTTGATAATTTAATAGATAGGTTTGTAGGCTTTCGTTAAGATTTTAGTATAAAAAAGTTGTTTGATTTCTTGGAATCTATCACTACATTATAAACTGCAATTAAAAAAAATAAAAAAATTTAGGCCTTGTTCTCTTCACCTTATTCAAATAATATTCAGTTTAGTAAAAATAAGTTCATTTTATCAACAAGAAGTTTTAATCTGTAAAAATCATTAACTTTAAAGAGCAAATATAATAGAGAATCAATAAAAATAAGTTTTAATCAGTAAAAATCATTTAAGTTCAGCAAAAATAATTTCTAGCCAAAAATAATTTCAGTTTACAGGACCTTAGTCTCCTAAGATAGTTGAATAAATTTAGAAAGTATAGGGTTTTGGGGTGACATAAGATGTAGATATGTTTATTTTGAAATATTTGTTTGATTTTTTCAACCTCCCCTGCCACTTCTTTTTCACAAGTATTTGTCAATAGTCATTTCTTTTAGAGCAGTCGCAAAAAGGAATCAAGCTCAAATTTTAACCATTGAAATAAAGAATAAGCAACATGAACTTATGTTATAAAGATATATCACATCTATCAAAGGAAATTATAAAGAACAAAGAATATATGACCAAGAGACAAATCATAAAAACATAACATAGCATTTCAATAAACCTATTGTCACTTGGCTTCCCTCAAATAGCTAAAATGGGAGCTGATTATATCAATCTTAGGTGCACAAAGGTTTCCCGTAAAGCTCTCTCTGAGAAAGATTGGAAGCGGGAGCCAAAAAAAGAGAGAAAATGTAAGGGGCTTAACTAGTACTATTTCCAAGGTACAATCTAAGCTAATGATCAAATTTAACCTCATCTCATTAGAAAGTTTTGAGTATAGAGCACCATGAACTGATACGAATAAAATCCATTAAAGCAGCATCCAACTTAAGCATGACAAGCTCATTAGAGAGCTAAAAGGAACAGAAAACAGAAACTTTGAGGAGAATGACTAACTAAAAGCTCAAAAACTCAAATTTCTATACTATACAAAACAAGCAAGCTAGCAATACACAATCAACTCATGCACAATTAAAAAGAGTTAACTTGAACTGGAAGGCCCCAGCAAAGAAAAATAAATCAGCAAGACTTGAAAGAAGAAAAAGCAATTACCATGGACGAATATCACTTCCGTTCACTCTCAAGATATTCTCTCTCAAAGCCAAGCCTGTGTAAAGGAATAAAAGCCAGGCCTGACAAAGTACAAAAAGAGCAGTAAATAAATTAAGCAAACAATGAAATAAAATTGACGCTAAGTAGCTGAATGTAGCCTGTACCTGATAAAGTTGAACTGGAAAAGCAGGCATGCAGCCATCCCACATCCAAGATCTAAGAATCAGTAGTATAGATGGAAAAAGAAGAAACAAGTAGGCAGTTCTATCCTGCTCAAACAAAGTGTACAATATTTATTGAACTATACTCCAAAAGATCTCTAGATAAAAGAAATAATAATAATAAATAAATAAATAAAATGGAATGTTTGAGAAGACAAAAGGGCAATAAATGGATGCACTTAGCACATAACTATAGCCATCCATAAGCAGAATGGGATTCATACATGCAACACATTATACAACATAATACGGAGTAATTTTTATTGAAACACAAGACACAAGTAAATCTCTCACTTGTGGCCTTTTGAGTTTTGACTATTTATTCCTCATGCAATTGTAAAAACCAGATTATGCACATGTGAGGTCCACAACCCTGACCAAGGTAGGAACATCTTCGTAAACTTGGGGTAATACTATGTTAGTACAGGTTTGTATAATTACTTTATTATGAAAACTTCCCTTAGACCACCGCAATTGTATTTTTTTGGTCCTTAGCTATCCATTTCAAACAAAAATATAATTTAAGATTTTGTAACAGTAAGACAATCTCATTATCATTCACTAGTGTCACTGCCACCAACCATAAAAGTAGGATATGTCTCTTTCCACCAAGTTGTATATAACCCCACTTCGCACAATCATATACATAGAAATAACAATACAGAAATGGATTTTTTTAAAATAGATAAATAAAATGCATAAATAAATAACCTTAGAAAAATTAACAATTTAAAACATAAAAAGGAGCAAAACTATGAAACATCTTTTTACCATGTAACGCCCGCATTTAAACATGAATAGACAAACATACCCTCGCGTGTATTCCATGTTTTTCTTCCCTGGCCTCTATTATTTACGCTCTATCTGCATCCGTTACATATTTAATCTTAACACTAAGATTATGCAAATCTCATTTATTCGTCATCGTCATATAGCAGCATAAATGACAAGTTGCATGCATTTACAATAGTATACATACGTAGTTTTTTTTTTTGAACGGGTATACATACTTAGTATGTATAGTAGTACAATTGCTTCTTAATTACAATTACAATCGCATGCAGTAATCAAGTTTTGTTACTTAGCTTTAAACATGAAGAAGTTAAAGTCGTTTTTTTGGGGAGGAGGCAAACGTCTAATTTTTTCAAAACTCCAGGGGTGAAACGCCTAGAATTTTCAAAAGTCCCTAGGGGATTCGAAAATTCTAGACGTGAACGCCTAGAATTTTCCAGTTTTTTTGCGCTTTTTGTTTTTATCATAACTTTTGATCTCGAAATCGGATTAAGACAAATAATATATCATTGGAAAGCTCTGAAAATCTACTTTTCAACACAATTAGAATCAGGTCAATATCATTTCTAGATCTTAATATATGACTAATATACTAAGTTTGGTCCAAAACCAACACCCTTGCACTATTTCGACCATATTTTAAGGTCTAGAAATGATATTGACCCGATTCCAATTGCGTTGGAAAGTAGACTTCCATAGCTTTTCAATGATATATTATTTGTCTTAATCCGAGTTCGGGATCAAAAATTATGATAAAAACAAAAAAACGCAAAAAAACTGGAAAATTGTAGGGGGAAGCGCCTAGAATTTTCGAATCTCCTAGGAACTTTTGAAAATTCTAGGCGTTTCCCCTCTAGAGTTTTGAAAAAATTAGGCGCTTGGCCTCCACCAATAAAAAAAACAACTTTAATTCTGGCGATGTGTCAAGTAACTTTGCCCTCGGCCGGTGGTGGTGTGGTTTGTTGGGAGGAGATAATGTTAGATTGAGTTAGAACATGGAATACACATGAGGGTATGTTTGTCCATTCATATTTAAATGTGGGCGTTACCTGTTAAAATAAAGGCGTCGTTTAGCTTGTCACTAAGGAAATTAAAAAAAATTAAAAAATTAAATTAAATTAAAATAAAATAAAATAAAATAAAATAAAGCATCAAAATCAAACACAAATGTAACATTTGTCTTTTTTTTTTTTTAGAAAGGGAGAAAAGGTGATTCAACATCTAAGGTAAGCTTATTGTAAATATAAATTGCTAAAACAAGGGAATACATTGGCAGCTTATTGTCTAGTTAACAAACTATGAGTGGCAATTTAGGGTAATCATCAAAGCTAAAGAAATTCAAATGATGTGATGCAAATGACATTAGACATCTAGAGACCAAAAGTTGTTAGTCCAATTTCCAGAAACCGTTTCTCTATCTCTTCCATCTTTCCTTACGCCCCTCACCAACCATGTAAGCAAACCCCCCTAGCAAGAACTAACTTAAAATCCATTTCAAAACCATTTTTGATTTTAATAGACATACGTCGCCAACAAAATGAAGTAAACGGCCAAATCACATTCAAAGATGAATATTCATGCAAGTATAGCTAAAAATAAGTACAAGGAGGTTATCATAGGAAGAGCAACCACTACATAAGAATAAAAATACAAAATTTTGGTACTCGAGTGATATACAAGACACTCACAAGCTTCCTCCCCTCCTCTGGGCTCAAGTTTCTAAATTTTCTTTTTTTATAAATCAAATTAGATTGCTCATTGTTTCATGCATCTTTTTCAGCCTATTAATAGGTAACAAATTTAGCTCTCGGTGTTCAAAACAACATTTTAAACTTTTGATACACAATGCAGTGTATACATCCGATCAATTTTTAACCAATTCAAGATCAACAAATTCTCATTCATAAAAGGGTACATATATATATATATATATAGAACTTACTTTGTAACTATTGTACTCCTCTTTGACTTTCAACTGGACATCCTTCCTGATAGCTCGCACATTAATAGGACCAAGAAACCTCTTTAAAAACCAACCTATCAACAAGAAAACCTCATAATTATTCACCACAATAAGCAAAGAATATAGAATCAAAGTGAGAGAACAAAATGACACACTCTCAACTTTGCCAGGAAGAAAAGATGAAGCATCTCCATCAACCAGGATACAGTTTGCTCTATTCAATTCATCCTCAAGCTGCCCCAAAGAAAAATTTCCAATTACATCAACAAACAACAAAAATACCAAATCTATTCAACTCTAAAGATATTGATGTATAACCTTCTCAACTAGCCTGGGATCCAAGCTATTTGTGAAAGAACTGATGGAGGAACGAAGCTTCGCGATGGACTCATCGAGTGAACGAGCACGTTGTCGAAGTTCTTTCTCTTCCCTTGATGACGTCGAAATGAATGATGCCGCCGCTTCTTGCAATTCCTTTGCTTGCTCCACCACTCTCCCCACTTCCTCTTCGATTGTTGTCTCTGATTGCTTTGTTTGATCCCCCATCTGAGCGATCACTAGCAAAAATTGTTTAAGTTCCGTCTATACTCAAGTGCCCCTTGACTCGAGCTGGGAAAAGAAAACAAATTCAGAAAGAAAATTAAGGTTAAAGGAAAGGAATATAGCATGTTGTCCAGGCTATTCACTTGAAAAGTAGAAATAAAATTGAGTTATCTTGTTCCATTGGTGACTGCTAGGTTGAAGGAACGGGGAAATCAATTTCCACCCATAGCGACATTATGCCTAATTGCGTAATACTCCTTACCTAGATAGACATAAAGCCCATGATCTACCAAATTTTTAACTAACCACTCATACATCAACATATAAGCAATAAGCATAACGTCTTAAAATTCAATGCACACTCCGGCAAGATTTTCACTTAGCAAAGCAGTTTACAATCTTTGATTTCCAATTCGCTATCTGCATACAGTGTTATTGTAATTCACTGTATAACATAAGGATAAGGCTTCTTGCTATATCCGTCTATTACTCATATAGTATACATTTCTATTACTCATATAATATACATTGATAGGCTCCTTAGTAACAGAGTACAGTGTAAGAAACTAATTATTTAGAGAGCCACAAAAGCGGGTAATGTGAATCAATCCCAGGATGCCTGGAACCAGGAGGGAGGCTCTAACCAACTGAGATACTCGTTCATAAAATAATCAATCCTTGCAAAATCTACACTCAAATTCTTTCTCATTACCGACATTTACGACCCGCTACCAAAAAATTTATTTTTACCATTTGCCAAAAGGCAGTGGCTATTTCCTCTAGTGATTATTATTCATTTCTTCATTTTTAATTAACATAAAATAGTACGAAGTACATTATACTGCATAACATGATGAACACAACATAAATCATCAGATTAACATTAATTACTCAAAATTAATAAAGGACTCCAACTAATTTGAGCATATAATAAACATTAATTTCAAAAATCAACAACCTAAAACCAAAAAGTCAATAAAATACCTAATCTAATAATAATAAAATATATAAAAAATAAAAATTAACATAGATGAAAAGTTAATTACCTTTGATAAGAATTAGGAAGAATAATAATAGTTAGAAGAAGAATCTAGTAACTTGCGCTGCCGCCGTCCGCCGGAGAAGAGGAGGTCGGATATCGCAAAGTCGCCGGAATCCGTCGGAATCCGACGTGATAATATCGAGGAGTAGTGGAGGTGAGAAGACGAATGAAGAGGATGAGAGAGAAAGTTTGAGAGAAGTCTAGAATGTTTTGTGTTTGAGTAAGTTGGGCCTTGGTTGAGTTAATTCAGGGTCATGACATTTGGACTTCTTGATTTCACATAATTCATCTGTGAAAATTACTTGCATAATAATTATGTCTTCAAATTTGGGTATTGTGGTCCCAATATCTTGGTCACCCATTCAACATATTTAAGCCAGCATTTAAGTTCCATTATTTGAAACTGCTACACTTCTGTCCGTTTTTAAATACTTGTAGAGTTGTAGGTACTTAAAACATTTGTGTCTTTCGTTATTTAAGTGATTGCAACGGTTGAAATTTTGGAATGGGACGACTATTATTTCATTGTCTCGGCTAATCATGGAGTACATCATTGGTGTATTGATTAGTTCATTTCATGTCATTTACCATCCACAAGTCTTCTTATATCTGATTAGTTGACTCGAAACATCTGATTTGAAAACCAAATTCTACTAGAAATCACTTGATCCAATTTGAGCTAACCCAAACGGACCAAATAATCAATGTTGATAATAATGATTATTTTATCAAAATAAGCATATTGGCAATAGAATTGAAAATGATTCGACTCGATCCAAACTTATTCAAACCCAAAATCAACCAAAATAGGTCTTACATGATCAAAATAACACGACCCGAACTGACATGACCTGAATAAAAACAAATCGAATGATCAATAGTTACCTCGATGCACAAATACTTTGTCGATTTTTTGTTAAGCGTAATAAGAAATTGTCAAAGTTTAATGTCACATCAAGTGCTTCTTGAAAGTAAAAAGATTGTTCACACTTCCATTGAACAATTCAACTAAACGATCAAATTAGGGAAAATACAAGTTTATTTTCATGATAAACAAATTGTGTTTATCATGAGGGTATAACTGTCAATTTATATACTTAAATCTGGGTAGCCTTGTAATTTCAATAATAAGGAAAGTTAACAGCGTTAAGTTCGTGGAGAACGCCAATAGAAATTTCAAAAGCTTCAATGGAAAAAGTGGGACTCAAAATTAGCTTCAATGGAGGAGGTTAACACCCTTACCCTTAGGGGTTCACCATCCCCTTAATTTCACCCTTTTTCATAGGATTTTTGTTTAACTTGGCGGCAAAGTCGCCGGAGATGGTGGTGTTGGTGGAAGGGATGGAGATCGCGGAAGGAAAAGAAGATGGAGGAAGAAGGAGAAGTCAGTTTCAATGGAGGAAGCAAGAGGATGAAGGAAAATGAAGGATGAAGTTGGGTAACGTCGTTAATTTTACAAGTTGAAGAAATGGACAGTTGGAAGCAACTCAGTCAAAGAAAGTATTATTTTAATCAATTTATACAGTTTTCAAGACAAGATAAACATCCCATATTTATCATAAAGATAAATTGGGGCTCCCCCATCAAATTATCATCAAGAACTTTCATCTTGGTTATAACAATCTCTCAAAAGCAAGCCTAGAGAATATAATGCAACGCCTAACCACCTACAACATATTATCTAATTACTTCTTAAAGCCTTGAGTAGGTGAATTGAATTAGCTAGCAAGAAATAGGAAGAGAATGTTGGGATGGAACTAATTCTTCTGCCTAAAAATTAAGTTAGTGCTTTACAAAAATACTAATTAATCCCTTTTAGAAAGAAGACTCCCTTAAAAAATTCTAGCACATTCATTTATATATTATCAACATTATATTAATCATCTTGCTCTATTTATGTGTATTATTTATAATCTATGTTCTTATTAGACAGCCATTCCCTCTATATAAAGAGTCATGGGACTAAAGACATTCATTCATAAAGAGTTCCAACCACCATCACCAATTCACATACGTACTAGCAAGCTTAGTAAAAGAAATTAAAATCATGGCAACTTCTACCAACATTAAGAAGATTGGCAGTGAAGCATTTATGCTCCTGGAGCAATTTGAAGAGCAAAGAGTACAATGGCAAAGGAACCAAATTCATTGTCGTAGGTATCACCAATTTCTCTATGATTCCCAAAATTATCAAGTCATTCCTCCAAGAGAAAATTCCATGGACACCTTTCAAGCAGCTCACAAATACGGTGGTTTCATGATATGTGAACATCGTGCTAGGAAATCAATGCTAACTAGGATGGCTTAGCTCCTTAAGAGTGTCATATTAGGTGATATTTGTATCTCTTTAAGGTGTATTTGTGTATTTATTTTTGTTAACAACTCAATCGATATACTGATTGTCTTAATATATGTGTTTCATGCACACAAAAAACTAAAATTGATGTAAGAGTGTAAGTGTAGGATTACAGATGGTGGGTCAATTATTGATTACTCCGTACCATGATTCACACTGTATATCAAGTGATAATTGCTTAGTCAGTGGTCCATTTTGATTCAAATGTATTGCATCATCGGATCATCCACTACTCGATCAAAGCATGGAACATTACATTTTTGTACATTTTTGTAGACGAATCGAGCCTGTAACCTCTTCAATTCATGGACACACCGTACCATGGCCATATCATACATAGCTTCTAGCTACTGTGGATTAGAAGTTAGCTTATGTATTGTTAATTCTTAATTAATGAAGCTAAAGTGGTTAAATCAAGCAATCAAGCACTAATGTTTGAAGTCTGAAAGCGTCAATTCAATTACAAACACTATCAAGGCACCAACGGTCCATTGGGCCCTACGCTAAGAATAGTACGTGTGATACGGTCCAGCGATATAAATTCCATAAACCCAGAAATTTATTTTTCTGTAAAGATAGCATTTGAACGTTATTTATTACAAACTAAGTTAGAACCCGTGCGATGCACGATTTATATAAAATCTATTTTTATAATTTATATATTTTAAAAAAAATGGATAAATTGTAAATAAGAATTATGCACCTTGTACAAAAATATTTTTGTAATTTTAAAATTTTAAATTTTCATCAAAATTATGATATAAAACATGTTCAACGTTGCCTAATACATATTTCAATGTAGGAGTCCATTTATTAGTGTGCTATTTACAATTGTTTCATTTTTTTAGGATAAATTAATAGATTGTATTTGTAATGTAGAAGCTTCCAATATTCAAATTTCAAAATTGTTAAATATGGTAGCTCCACACAAAAAATATAAAAATAAAAAAGACGACATCATCCCTGTATTTAGGTGGAAATTTTTTTATTATGAGAGTGACATATGCACAGTGATGATATCAACAACGTTTTAGTAGTAGTTAATAGCTTTACAAATTGCTCAATCGCAATTTTGCAAGGGTTCCCCCCCCCCCCCCAAAGAAATTTGTGTATCTGAATCACGAAGAATTGAACTACAAGGGTAGTTGGGTATTATTTTTCTTTAGTGATATTGAGAGATAGCTCAAGTGGTTAAGCTTCCCTCCAGATTTCATGTGATATTGGGATCAATTCTATCACTCGTCCTTGATTAGTTTTCAGTTAAGATAAATAATGAATTGAAATGATGATTATATGTACTGTTATTTTTATTTTTATTTTTTTTGAACCAATGAAATGATTAAATTTTATATCAACAAATTAGTGCCATTTGAAATATTCCATTAGAGGAAAGAAAATATTTACATGCGATTTCACATTTTGAACATCTCGATGAATAGCTTTAAAATATCGACATATAATAATGCATATTATAGTTGAAGATATTGTTGAAAGAGTATAAAAACTGAACTTAAGCTTCAATAACCATCCCATTTATGTTTTTGGTTGAATTGGTCCTTTAACAATTGTTACTCAAATTTATGAGGTGATAATTGTGTAAAAAGACAAATGATACAAATAAAAAAAGAAAAAATAATAAGCTTTTTTTTTTTGACAGGATTATGCATTATGTTTGAATTAAAATGAATTGGATCGGAGGAAGTATAATACGAGTATACAATATAATATAACATAGAAAACCAAGAAATTAAAAAAGGGTTCTAGATGCATGATCGTGTTAAGATATCCTAAATTTTACTAGTAGAAAGTTGTCGATAAGAGAAGTGTCTTGGAGCTTTCAAAGAAAAAAAATCGTATCTTGGAAAGGATTTGTGTTATTCTCTTGAAAGATCTCCTCTCCACATATATTTCAATTATACAAACTAGGAATATTTTTCAATAACAAAACTTTACACTTCGTACTTCGAAATAATTGGTAGAAGTGTGTCTTTATCTAATTAGCTTGTCCTTAACTCTTCCTTCCCACTTGAGATCGTAAAATGTTCCCTTCCTTGTTTCGTTCTTTTCATTTCTTTAGACTTTAACTATTCGTAGATATGAAGGGGGAGATATTCATGCAAAAAAAAAAAAAAGGTTATAAAATCAAACGAATATGAAGTAAGAATTAAGGTAACATAACTTTTTTTCTTGCGCGTTCAAAGGAGTTAATTTTTTACAGATCGGAGAAAAAATGTAACAAAGGATTGGATAAGATATGCTATGTTTTCTTCACTTTATTTCAATACATTATTGTTATTGAAATCAGACCATATAAGATCGATTATGCAGACCAAAATAAATCTTTGTATTTAATTTGAGTTAGCTTGTTATTTGTTACGTGTACCAGATACTTTGTATAAATATAAAAATCATAAAAATTAAATATTAAAAATACACATTAACATGCAATAAATCGAATGAATAAAATCATATATACTTGAAAATGTTTTTTTTTTTTAAAAAACTTGTATATAGGCATACAAATACAGTCAAAGGTCAGTCAAACAAGAAAACAATTAGAATGATCGAGTCAGATCAAATCTAAAATAAAAAATTTATTTAAAATAATATAATCAACCCAAAAACCTTATTACAAATGCAGTGTACATATTGACATAGATTAGAATTAATCTAAAGTTCTTATTAAGTTCATCCCCTGAAGTAGTTGGCATGTATCCATGACAATGTGAACGAACTTCTAATTACTTAATACCTAAATAAAAGGTTGAGAAGGTTCTATACCACAGTATATAAGTGCGATGTATTACAAAAATGTGAACTAACTTGTAATAACTTAATACCTAAATAAAAAGTTGATCAAAAGGTATCTAGACCACAAAATATGATTGAGATGTTTTACAATAATGTGAACAAACT